CCCTCAGAAGGGTGGCCTCCAGCTCTGGGAAGTCAAAGTCAGACACATCAAAGTTAGAGACTAGAAAGACTGGAGGTTCCTGCTGGGTCACTTCCTTAAGTATACTTGAGATGGAATTTCGAATCTGCTTTAAGGTGTTCTCTCTATTGAATCTCTGAGGCCAACGCTGTTTTTGAGTCATTAGATCATTGTCTGTGTGGGTTTGAATAAAATAGAAATGCCTATTCACTTGCACGATGGCTTTGGCTAGTTCTGCGTCATTGTGTTTAAAGCGTCCAGAAGAGACAATAATGAAGAAGTCATACTCCTCAAACTTGATTTTCTTCAGGTAATCATGTGGTTGGAAGGCAGTGGACCCGATGCCCGGCAGGTCCCATAGTGTCACACTGGGAACCTTGGAGTATGGGTATGGTGTTCTCTCAGTGGTGGTACATACCACTCCGGTGGAAGCAGCCGCACCCTCTTCATCAGGCCCCACCCCCTGTAGAGCATTGATGAGACTGGATTTTCCAGCCCCAATCTCCCCCATCACTGCGATGTTCAGTGGGATTTTCTCGATGTCACTCAGAGCATCGCTGATTGCAGAAACTGTTCCCCGCAGGTTCCCGTCCTTTAGGTATGATTCAATCAAGGTGGTTAATTCCTGAGACAGGATCTTGGTTTCCATCTTGAAATTGTAAAGATTTGTGTCGAGGCTGGAGGTCAAATCAGGCTCCTCCTTCTGAGGGGGTGTAGAAGAGGAGGACTGACCCATGGCTGGTAACAGTTGATGGTGCTAAGGGAGGAAAGAACCGGGAAGGTCAAAGAATTAGTTCAGAAAGAGAAAGCCAATGGGAATGCAGAGTCCCTTTAACCACACATATTACAAATGGGGTCTTTTCCCCCTTTTAATCAAATGCTCAGGACTCAACTGCATTTACTTCTAGCCTGATTGTATATTTTTGCTTGACTGAGACTCCTTTACCCTTGGCCATTTTCCTCTTTGAAGGACTTTTAGTTGTCAAGATCAAATTCAGACCTATACCAGCAACACTAAGGAGGTCGTGCTATGGATCACAAGTTTGATGTCAGCCTGGGCAATGATCCCAAGACCTCTGTCTGGTCTGCCATCATTCACTGAAACAAAAAAACTCTTACAGTTCCGTTTGCAATTACAAAAGATCTCAGACAGAGAAAGCAAAGCCAAGGCGGGGAAAAATGCCGAGGCCATCACTGTTCTTGGTCTCAAGTTGTGTTCCAGAACCAGAGTAACACAAGCACCTTTGTGGGCCCCTAGCAGTTGTCCCCCAGCTTCACTTCTAAATGGCTGCCATTTCTCAGGAATGACCTGTCCCTGACTTCAAAACATCCAGACAGAGGCTCTGATGCTCAGAATTTGCCTCTTGGCCTATCTCACACACGCTACCATCTGAACCAGGTATCTGTGGGATTGTTGGGAAGCACAGGATAGAACTCCATGGCCATGGAAGATTTTCGAAAAGAAGCCACATCTAAGCAAGGTGTCGAATGCTGTGTGGAGCTGGCTGGGTGAATGGAAAGGGCGGGAGTGAAGAGAGCGCATGCGTGGAGATAAAGATGGCGCACTGTGGTGCATCTGGAGAACTGCCAGTCGACCTGTGGCAGGAACGAGGAGTTCAAATTCACAAGTGAGGAGAAAGCGTGGAAGGCAGTCAAGGGTTCATTTGAGCGATTCAGTAGTGAGAGACGGTGCCACTTAGGGACACCTGGAAAGATGCAGGATACAAAGTGGAGGAGATCCAGAATCTGGGAGCAGCATCTCCCAGCTTCCGACTGACACCCACAGCAGGAAATCCATTTGACACAGGACCCAATGCGTGCACACTCATAGCACCATGGTATAGGAAAGAGTTTACTACTCAGGTGTGCAGCCTGGTCTACTCTGTTGGTGTTCACTGAATTTTAAAAATTATATAATATTCCCTTTGTTCAAATTTAACAAATGTGCTTGTACCTTATCCAATAAAAAAAGTAGATAAAATGAAGGCTATTAATGGATAGATTTCCTATGCTAGGCTCTAAATAGTTCTTGTTTCATGTAACTAATCTGAACTTCCATCAACAGACTCAGAAGCAAAAACAAAGCCTAGTTTTTCTATATATGAAATATCACAGGTTTTTGAATGTAAAAGTTCTTACTATTACATATGTACATACATATTATGATAATGATTAAAGACTAGATCAGTAATTGAGAGATGGGAAGAGATAGAGTGAGGACAGAGGGAACCTGGAGTGAGCTAGATGCAGTGTTCATGCATGAAGTTCTCAAAAACAAAATACATTAAATGAGATAAAGAGAATTTTGACATCTGAAAAAAATCCTGGTAATATTTGACCACTATATGGAAAGTTTGAGAGAGAAATTAATGTGCTGATTTTTTTACAGCAAAATAGTATATGCCTTCATGATCCTCCGGTCAGTACTGAGTATGGCATACTATCTGGAGGGTTGGAAAAAGCCCAACCTCGGTAGTGTAATCATGGAAGGGGTTTCTACCCTGGCATAGAAATAGTTCCCTCAATGCGGGGAAAATAGTTGATCTGATCCAGAGAAAAAGACCACTTAGAGGCTTCCTCTTCAAAACCCTGCTCTACAGGTGCTCCAGGTCCAGCTCATGGCTTCTCACAGATTCACTGGACACCAGGCAATACCAGTGTGCTTTCTGTTTATAGCATTTTATCTCCGTGGGGGTAAACAAAATAGTGACAGTATAGGAGGGTGTGGTGGGACACACCTTTCATCTCAGCACTAGCAGAAAGAGGTAGATAGATTCCGAGTTTGAGCCCAGCCTGATTTGCATGTCCTAGACCAGCCAAAGGCACACAGAGGGATCCAGTTTCAAACAGAAACCATAACAATGAAAACAACAAACAGCCCTAAGAACAAAACCCGCCCTAAACAGCTTACAGCAATGACTCTGGGGAGTCTGCTCACACACCCTGCCCCCCTTCTCCACACTGAAGCTCTCATCAGAAGAGCAACAGGCCCAGGAATGTGCAGGAGATAGAAGAGATTGTTGCTGCCTTGCTGGTGGGTTGGGGTCCTCTGTGGTACAGAAGATGCAGAAGGGCCCAACCGTGAAAAATCCCTGACTGAAATAAACCGGATACAAGCTCCTCTGCCCTGGTACCAGGAATTCCCCTGCCACGTCATAAGTAAGGAGGATTTCTGGTCAAGCTGCACTTAAATTCCTTCACATACCTGCTCCCCAGTGATGAAGTGAGTGACCCTCCTGTGATGTCCCCTCTTCCCTGGGAACAAGGTCGCTGGGGTAGCTGTCTATGGCGTCTTCTTAGCTGGGATGTCCAGCAGCCAGACCGAATGCTGAGTGCTTGGTTTCTGGTGTTTTCGGAGAGCAGAACAGCTGGGAAGCAAAGGCTGATCTGCCCAGATTTCCTTCCAGATCCTGCCCTTCACAGTCTCTGCTCTCTGCTCTGCACTTCCTAGATTCCAATCCTGCCTGCTTGGTCCCTAAAGGGAGGGGCTGCAGTCTGAGGAGGGTTTGGTTTCTGTTCTTTGAACTAGGGGGGTTGGTTTGCACAAATCAGGGGAATAGGTTTCACATCCTCCTTCTGAGAGGGAGGCGGAGCTCTGCTGAAGTGGCCCTAGCCCAAACCCAGGGTTTCCTGAGTGCTTGGGAGCTTGGTAGCCGACTCCAGGGTCATCCTGTGCTCCCCAGCACTGACCATTTTACTCCACCACCCCAGCTCTGTCAGCTGATGGCATCCATTGACCTTCACACCAGGGATCCCGGGGTTCAGTGTTTGCAGACTCTTGCTGTAACCCCGCACCCCTTGCTGCTGTCCTGTTGATTGTCTGTCTCTCACTCAGGACGATTCTCCTGACTTTGAGACAGACACTCTCACTGTCTTAGACTTCACCAATCAGACAAGGCTGCCTGCCAAGTGAGCTCCTGGGAGAAATGAATGATCTCCCTAGCCACTTGTGGAGATTTCCCCTGTGATGGCGAACACTATGTTTAGAGGATACATTTACTGTGGTTGTAAAAACAACATTGTATTCAGCTTCTAGTAGCCTTGAGGAAGTTGTTCCTGCTTAGAATGTGCCCTGTCAGCTGGCCTGAGATGGACCATTTCCTGATACCATTGGGCTATTCTTTAAAAAAAAAAAAATGCTAATTGTTTTAAAATACTTCACTGATCCAGCTATTTTTACAAGGTCACAAGATTAAACAGGGTAACTGCTAAGGTCTGCTTTTGTAG